ATACCACTTTAAGACGGTTTTTTTTTTTTGGTATAATTTTTTTGGTGGTTGGGTTTGTATTAAAAAAAAAAAAAATATACGTTTATATAGATTTTGGGACCCTCCCCTATTCGCCCTCGGGCAGTAACCGGAATTTCTCAAAACCAAAGCTGAGCGGCTGAAGCACTTGTTTAATGCCACTACGCTTCCGGTAGCAGTAATCCTTAATTGACAAGGTTGCCGCTTTTTCACACTTCCATGAATACGAAAGACAGGCGAACTTATCGTCCGGTTTTTCCGAGCGGTAGAAGCGCATGCTGGCGAAGCCATCAAGAGTACCCTTGCTTTTCTTCGTCTGCTGGGAAGAGTGTGAAAATTTTGTAATTTTGAAAATTCTTGTAGTGAGAAGAACTAGTTATTAATGATGCTTTGATCAGCCGTCATTTCATTGTCCTATTTTTTTTTTTTTTTTTGCACTAGCGATGCAGCAGCTGGAAGCTTTTCCGTACCGTAGAGTCCTTCGCTTCCTCTTTTTTGCAGTAAACCTTTTTGATGAATAGTTCCATCTTAATGCTAGCCTTCCCCAACTTTTTCCTAGCAACAGTTTTGCGTATCATTCAAAATGTCATCGCAACTGCGGACAGTAGACGACCAAACTCGCCCTCGCCACTCAATTCGAGTAGAGTGGAGAGTGAGTTTTGTGCCCAAAAACTTGGTTTATATGAGTGCGGCGGATCTGGGCTTGCTCAGAAGTGACCCATGGTCATAAGGAGGAGAGCGATAGTACTCATGTGTGTAGATGATACTTTGCAGCGGAATTTGCTGCTTCTTCTGGTGAATGTGCATTTTTCAGTATGAGGTGGATACATGGCTTGCAATGAATCAAGTTACCGTAGAGGGCGATGACTTGCCTCGTCCTGTTTTCGAGTTCGCTGAAGCGAGTTTCCCGCCCTACGTCACTGACATGCTTCTGGCAAATTTCAAAAAACCGACGGTGATCCAGTCGATCTCATGGCCAATTGCACTAAGCGGCCGAGACATGGTTTCAATTGCAAAAACCGGTTCCGGCAAAACACTGGCGGTAATTCTTTTTTTCTGAAAATGCTAAAAGAGAAAGGGAGTTTTGACTGTTTGGATCGAATGTTCAGGTTGATTTGCTCTGTTTTTTGGCCCAAACCGATTGTGCCTCTCTATCATAAGCTTCCGGAAGAAAGAAATTTTTATTGTTCATACGAGTTATATTAAACAGTCCGAGTCATGTGTGTGTGTGTGTGTGCGTGCGTGTGCGTGTGTGTGTATTTTTAATATTTCTGCTGGAATTTTCATAGTTTTTACATGAAAAGCTGCAAGTTGAGGTTGTTTTTTAATATAAATTTGTTCAGTTCATTCTGCCCGCAATTGTTCACACTGCTGGGCAATCGCCGCGAGGTCACCAGAAAAGCCCATCAGTGCTGGTGCTTTTGCCTACAAGAGAATTGGCTCAGCAAGTTGATGAAGTCGCGAAGCTTTACTGTAAGGTGATGAATCTGTCAGTGACTTGTCTGTTCGGTGGTGCTCCA